AGGATTGATCACCCCTTCCAGCATAGTAACTCTCTTTGTTTCCTCTTGGTCCAGAGGCACGAGAAGCCCAACACAGCCAGATAGCAACCATAGCATAAGGCTCAAGTGAATCATTATTTCTCCTGGTGGAAGCGTTCCCCTCTTTGGAACTAAGACTCTAGACAAGCAGAGAATAAGGTTGTGAGGATAAGACGTAACATTCTGCTAGTGGATCACTAGGGGTAAATGGTGAGTCTCTCATTTCTACAACTTTGTCACTGGATTCATGATCTGGCCTATGGAAGAAACAGTAACATAGTGGATGCAGATTCAGAGTACATACAGCCTTCTGGAGATGTGACAAATGCCATTTCAGGACTTAATTTCTTTCTATAATGCATAATAGTTAAAAACAGTAAGAGGAAAATATAAATTAATCTATTACCTAGAGAAATACAAAAAGTCTATGAATTTGAGATCAATTAATAAATATATTTTTAAAGGATGATGGACAAGTATACCCTTCCAATGGGGCAAAAAAACCTTGAAGAGTTAGTTAATGAGGGGAGTTTTGGAATGTTTGAATAGAAAAATGAGATTTTCATGGTGGTCATGTTAATTTACTATCATGCTGAATAAAATTAAGTGAGTCCAGCAGTTCATTCAACATGTTAAAACAAGTTCTTTTGTTTCCTAATCAGGAAAGAGCCTTCAGTTAGATCATAGAAGGGTCTTGGCCAGGAGTCAATCAAGGTCCGCTGATCTCTGCTTCAGCAGGTTAGACCATGTTATGACACACTATATTGGTCTGTTCTATCACCTCTTGGAAAGTGCTACATTATGTGGATTTTGTTTTTCCTTTTTAACCCTCTCTTGGCTTTCCCGTTTCTGAAGTGGATGGAATACCACACTCAGCACAGGCAAGTAGTAATTAGGTCGATGCAACCATCTTGGTTTCAGGATTCATACCCATGACGTTCCATTGTGCTGTTTCCAAGTTATTCAATCATCTTTTGACATCTGGTGCATGAAATGGCCAGATGGAAGATGTGGGAAAACCATGTTTATACTACACCCTAGAGCAGCAAAAATTAAGACAAAGTAACATAACTAATCAATGCAAGGTGACTCTTAACCAGCCTCCTTTTTGTCAAGCCCACATTATGTGAAAAAATTATATGGCTGGTTTGACTCACCTTGGACAATCAAATGACATGATTCTTAATTTTTAAATAGGGATACTAAGACATGTCAGCCAGTACATATGCGCTACCTTATTTGCTCAGGAAATAAGTCATAATAATTCTACTGTCCTGCCACTTAAAGTTGGCCATGTTAAACTTTTTTTTTTAATTTTGAGCTATTTTATTTTTAATATTTATTTGAAAATTCAATGTTGTCATCATGAGGGAAAACAAAATTTGTTGGATTTTCTTATATATAATCCATGGTTTGGTATTATTTGTTTTTCTCTCCTTTCCTTTCTTTCGTCCAGCTTCAGTGAGATATTACTGACATATAACATATATAATTTTAGGGTATACAGTGAAATGATTAGACACATGTGTAAACTGCAAAATGATTACCAAACTAATGTTAACGCCTCCATCCACTCAGATTGTTAACATATGCTTTGTGTGTGGTGATAATACTTAAGATCTACTCTCTTAACAGCATTTAAGTTATTTAATACTATATTGTTAATTATCAGCAAGCAGTGCATCAGATCCTCAGATCTTATTTATCTTATAACTGGGGATTTGTAGCATTTGATCATCTCCACATATCCCCCCACATCCAACCCGCAGCAATTACCATTCTACTCTCTATTTCTACGAGTTTGGCTTTTTTAAGAAATTCCACGTATAAGTGAGAACATACAATATTTGTCTTTCTCTGTCTCAGTTAGCGTAATGCTCTCAAGGTCTGTCTATGTTGTCAAAAAACAGAATCTCCTTGTTTTTATGGCTGAATAACATTCTCTTATATCTTCTTTATTCATTCATCCATTAATGGACAGTTAGGGCATTTCTGTGTCTTGACTATTGTGAGTAATGTGAAATAAACATGAGGGTGCAGATGTCACTTTGCAGATAGTGTTTTCACTTCCTTCAGTTAAATTCCCAGAACAGGGGTTGCTGGATCACAGGATAGCTCTATTTTTAATTTTTTGAGGAAGCTCCATACTGTTCTCCATAATTGCTGTATCAACCTACATCCCCACCAACAGTGAATAAGGGTTCCCTTTTCTCCACAGCCTCACCAACACTCGTTGTTTCTCGTCTGTTTCATAAAACCAATTGTATCATTTGAAATGACATCTAATTGTGGTTTTGATTTGCATTTCCCTGATGATTAGTGATGTTGAACATCTTGTCACATACCTGTTGGCCATTTGTTTGTCTTTTGGAACAATGTTTACTCAAGTCCTCTGCCCATTTTTTAATCAGACCAATTTTTGTTTTTACTATTGAGTTATATGACTTCCTTGTATATTTTAGATATTGACCCCTTATCAGATATATAGATTGTAAATATTTTATCTTATTTCAGAGATTGCCTTTTTGTTTTGCTGAATGTTTATTTTGCTGTGCATTAGGATTTAGTTTGATGTGTTCCTACATGCTTATTTTTGTGTTTGTTGTTTGTGTTTTTGGTGTCATACGCAAAAAATCTTTGCCAAGACCAATGCCAAAGAGTTGATTTTCTACATTTTATTCCAGAAATTTTATGGTTTTCCAAATTTATTCTTCTTTCTGAGGAATGCTTTGGCTATTTTGTGTTTTGAGGTTCCGTACACATTTTAGGATTTTTTTCTATTTCTGTGAAAAATATTATTGGAATTTTGATAGGAATTAAATTGAATCTATAGATGGCTTTGGGTAATATGTACTTTTGCCTTCTTATTTTTTTTTGCTGAGGAAGGTTCTCCCTGAGCTAACATCCATTGCCAATCTTCCCCATTTTTTCAGTTGAGGAAGATTAGCCCCAAGCTATCATCTGTGCCAATATTCCTCCACTTTATATGTGGTTTGCCATCTCAGCATGGCTGATGAGTGTTGTACATCCACTCATGAGATCCAAACTCATGAGCCCAGGCCACCAAAGTGGAGCATGACGATCGTGACCATTATGCCACTGCTCTGGCCCCAACATGTATGTTTTAACAATATTATGCCTTCTGATACATGAACACAGGATATTTTTTCCATTTATTTGTGTCTTTTTCAATTCTTTCATCAACGTCTTACAATTTTCACTGAAGACATTTTCTACCTTCTTGGTTAAATTTGTGACTCAGCATTTCTATGCAATTTTGAGCAATATTTTTTCTATTTCTTGTCAAAGATCTTGATGTAGCACTTGCCAAGAGGTGCTAAAACTGACCACTATATTGTGTCATAACATGGTATAACCTGTTGAAGCAAATAAAGATCAGCGGACCTTGGTTGACTCCTGGCCAAAACCCTTCTATGATCTAAATAAGGCTCTTTCCTGATTAGGAAACAAAAGAACTTGTTTTAGCACGTTGAATGAAATGGTGGACTCAACCCGATTTATTCAGCATGAGAGTAAATTAACATGACCGCCACGAAAATCTCATTTTTGCATTCACATCTTCCAAAATTCTCCTCATTCATTATTCAACTTTTTTTTTCCATTGGAAGAATACTCTTGTCTGTCAAACTTTCAAATATATTTATTAATTGATCGCATATACATAGGCCTTTGTATTTTTCTTTAAAATAAATCTATATATATTTTCCTCCTAAAGTCTTTAACTGTCATGCACTATAGAACCAAATTAATTCCTGAAATGGCATTTGTCGCATCCCTTATGATTTTATTTGAGCTTTTTTCTATTTTGTTTGTTACTTCACAATTCCTAGATAACTTGATATTTAGCATGTGTCAAAGGTGTTATGAATAATGAGCAAAGTATGTGACGATTGGAAATGTTAAAGTTCAGAGAGAACTAACTTGTACATTTAAGATAATGAAATATTGACACAAGATCTTAGTCTAAAAGTACACAGAGAGGTTTCCTTAAGGAAGTAATTCAGCTGAAATAAATTTTAGAGTTGACATGAGTTAATACTTAGGCTAGACAATTAGGGTATCTCTTCTCATAATTGTCAGAAACGACTCTGCTCAGAAAAATATGTGAGAGGGAACTCATCTGAAAGAAAAACAACTAAAAATTTGACCCGTATCCAGTCACAACATTTTATCCCCTGAAAATGGGTCATTCATGGGGTTGCTCAAATAAAAACCAAACTAACTCAGACAATAAAGGTACAGCGTACCCTCCCTCAGCAAAGGGCAAGGAATTTCTCCATCATAAAAATGTTGGCTGCAGCCATTGTTTCCTCAGTTCTCGTTCACTGCATATTATTTTTCTGTTTCACTTACCAGATGGACTGCAGTATTAGTTTGACTCCAAATATATCTTAGATTATAATTTCTTTTGAATTTATTTTTGTTTATTTTCAAAAAATTAAATTAATTTAAGTGGGGACCATATCACTTCAATATTTATGTCACATTTCGCTGAATAAGGTCAGGCAGCGTGGCCAACATGGTATTCACGTATTATATTTTTATGGTTCATTTGAGACATTTTTGATATTTATATTGCTAAATAGTTGATGAATCATAAGCATATATAATGTAAAATTATTTTCAACAAATACTTTGAATAATATCCATTTGTTAAATATACTACTGCTAAAATTTCTTCAATGCATATCATATGAGGGGTAAATTGAAAGGGTAATGTAAAACAAAATATTTTACAGCATTGATTACTTAGGTCTTGACAGGATGACAGTGGAGTTGTCAGTCTAATATGTGAAATTTAGAGTTGAAGTGTGTTTCATATGTTTACCATTTATTCAGTGAAATTTAGATTACCTTGAAATGTACCTTTATTATTTTCCTGAATAACACTTTCCTAATATGACTTTTCTTACAGATTTCATTACCTGTTTATTTCTAAGACTGTAGATGATAAGATTCAATTATGGAGGAACTATGGTATAAAATACAGAAAAAATCATGTCCTGAGTTGTTTCAGAGTTTACTGAAGGCCTTAGGTACTCATAGAAACCACAACTGAGGAAGACAGACACCAGGAGGATATGAGGGATGCAGGTGGAAAAGGCCTTCCCTTGCTCTCTTGTTGGAAACTTGAGTACCATAGACAATACGCATGTATATGATATAGCAATGAAGATAAAGCAACTACCACATATCCCTATGGAAGAAACAAAAATTAAGAGTTCATTTCTAAAGGTGTCACAGCAGGAGAGCCTCAGCAGTGAGGGGATGTCACAGAAGAACTGGTGGATCACATTGGACTTACAGAAAGGCTGCTGGAATGTGCTGCCAGTGTGCACACCTGCATAGACAAGACCACTGAGTAGAGAAGCCAGTGTCATTTGGACACAGAATTGGTGGTTCATGATAATTGGGTAGCAGAGAGGCTGGCAGATTGCCACATAGCGATCTTGGGCCATTATAGAGGGAAACACCTCCACATATGCACAGTAAATGACCAAGAAGATCTGAGTTGCGCATGCAGCCACAGAAATGGTCCTCTTGCCAGTGAGAGATTGGGCACAGGCATTAGGGACAGTAACAGAAATGTAGCACATGTCCAAGATGGATAGATTCCTGAGGAAGAAGTACATAGGAGTGTGCAGTTTCTGGTCGATGGTGGTGACAGTGATAATTGGAAGATTCCCTAAATTAGTAGCCAGGTACATGAGTAGGAATACCAGAGCTTGCAGTAACCTCAGCTTACAGCAATCATCAAAGCCTGTGAGGATAAACTCAGTCACCATGGTGGAATTGACCATTTTCTGGAAATGCTTGATTGGAGAGGCAGAGGGATAAAAATAGGAAGAGTGAAAATAATTAATTTTTTAGAATAAAGCGTTTGCCTCTATTTTCTATGGGTGGTTTTTGTTTGTGGGAATGGTCCACTCCTGGTCTTTTGATTTTTCTCAGCCACTCTTCAGTTGATATAGTACCAAGGTGCTAAGGATGATATCCTCCAACCTATTCCTCTGGGTGTGACATGCAGAACTCTTCCTCTGTTTCTTCCATAATATCCAATCCATGAGGTTTATGTTTTAACAAAAATTGAATTATTTAATGCAAGAAAATCTCTGTAAGAGAAATACTGTCTGAGAAAGAAATGCTTTCTTAGAAGCTGAATAATGCACTCACTCAGGATGTTGACACACAGCAGGGCTTTATCTCTGTGCCCTTCAAGCATCTCATCAAGATGCCTGCCCTGTTTGGCATTACTCCTCCCAAGATTAGTGCAGAATCTGAGACTAAGAGTTCTCATATCTTTATAACACTTGTCATTGCTATGAATTCTGTGTGGGGTCAGTAGGCTTATATTTTGCATGTCATTTTAAATTGTCACTTTTATAGACATCTATTTATTTTAATTTTTGAAAATAATCAATGTGCAAAGTTTGGAGAAAATTAAAATGGGCCTTCACTACAGCTAGTTCAAGGGTCTCTGCTCTAGGTGGACTGAGCGTTGGTGGAGAAGATATCTGTGTGGTCATGTGAGGACAGAGACACTGAATTTTTGCTATCATAATTTTTATAAACATTTTCTGTACATTCTTGAGTAATCTAGAGCTAATAAAGTTGAATATTATATGATTGTAATAAAATGAGTGGGGACCGTTTCCCATCTTCATCTTCTGAGTAGTGCTTCCCATTGTTTGTATTCAATTTCTTCATGATCACTTTGCTATCTACATTTACTATGAATTTTGACACTGATCCTACACAGAAATTTATCTCCCACAAGATAATAATCTGAAAGTTTCACATGTAAAGCATAACCCTTGTCCTGCTCACCTCTACTCCTTCCTAACAAATTATCTTCTTACATCTTTTCTATAAATCCCATTTTTAAGTTACCCTCCCCCTTTTCTTGACTATCTCTGTTGTCGCCATTATTGTATCATCATATACAATGCTAGTAATCCAGACTATAGTTCATTTTATATTTTACATATGGAAATATTGATACCATTATAATATTTAAATGTATCCACGAAGAGGAACAATTTACTAATGAAGAAGCCATCTCAAAAAGTAAGGGAACTATGGGGCTGGCCCCGTGGCCGAGTGGTTAATTTCGCGCGCTCCACTGCAGGCGGCCCAGTGTTTGGTTGGTTCGAATCCTGGGCGCGGACATGACACTGCTCATCAAACCACTCTGAGGCAGTGTCTCACATGCCACAACTAGAAGGACCCACAACGAAGAATATACAACTATGTACTGGGGGGCTTTGGGGAGAAAAAGGGAAAAAATAAAATCTTTAAAAAAAAAATTAAGGGAACTTTGGGGCTGGTCCATGGTGTACTGGTTAAGTTTGGGCACTCTGATTCGGTGTCCCCGGATTGTGGGTTCAGATCCTGGGCATAGACCTACACCAGTTTTCAGCCATTCTTTGGTGGGGACCCACATACAAAATAGAGGAAGCTTGGCACAGCTGTTAGCTCAGGGCTAATCTACTTCAGCAAAAAGAAAAAAAGTAAGGAAACTGAAATCTCAAACATATGTTTCCAGTTTTGGCTCAGTCTAAGGATGTCAAGTCCTCAACACTCATATTTTTTATGGATCCAACCTTGTCAATTACTGACCATTTTTCATCTCCACTTTGTGCTTGGTTTCACTGTTTCATCAGAATATTACCAGATCCTCAGACATCTCTCCACTGCTCCATTTCATTTCATTGTTTTTCTAATGTTCTACTGTTTTCCATAAAGTTATAGTATTTTCACCTGTATGATGTTTAAAATTCCTCTATCTGTAAAATAATTTGTCTTAGTCTTACTGATATCTTTCATTATTTTTCCTTTTTCCTATTTTTCCCCTATGATAATTTTAAAAGGTTTTATCAATATATTCCAATGATAAATTTTTGGCAGTAGCGATTGTACTTCTGAAACAGTTCTTATCAATTAAATTCCTGGAGTGACCTGAGTGTTTATTTCCTCTTCAGCATCTTCTCATATTAATCACAATTTTCCTCTGGAGGCTGATTTTCTCATCAGCTTCTCTAGAGAAGCTCTCAAACTGTATCTTTTCTCCAAGGTTGTATTTGTCAGTAGCCAGCCCCAGGGATTTATATGTCACATTTCACTTTGAAAGTGCAAAGTTCAATTGATTTTGCACAACCTATGTGAAATCAACTTTTCTCTCTCCATTTTCCATTCTTCTCCTAAACAAACCCTGTGTTGTCATCTGCGTAGACACCTCATTCTCAGAATAAGCTTGAATTTTTAGTCTTTCCCTGACAGTGCCACTTTTCTTCTTTTACTCATAATATCATCTTGTCCTTTGTGATCTATCAGGTCTTTAAATCCAGCTCGAATAAAATTTTTGGTGTGAAACCTTCTTGATTTCCCCAAATCTATCTTCTATTTTTATGTTTTCATTAAAATTCAACATATTTTATTTAATTACAGGAATCCAGTAAGTGTTCATCACCTTCAGACTTTGATAAAAACTATTTCAATTTTGCATTTTATATTAATCATTTTTTAAAATTTTAGCACTTATGTTTCAACATGCATAATAGTGAATAAATAAATGTATTTTGACATGACTTATTGAGCACTAAAAGCCTCTATTCTACTTATTCGTAAATGACTAGCTCTCTGATATTTTAAATATTGACTAATGTTATTCATAAGCCTTCGACAAGTGAACTTTATTACATTCCATAATTCAAAATGTGCTTCCGAAAGTCGCACACATATTTTAACACTTACAAAACTTACATACATGAGTGCACACACATATATATGCAGTTTTAGTATAAAAATTTTAAAATTATTGAAAAAGAAAGAAAAGGATGGTGATCAAGAAAGTTGAGATTGGTTCATTATATTTCAATTATAATTTTATGTCATATTAAAATATTTTGATTTTATGCAATTGTTGATATGTTAATATATAACATCATCTGTATATATATTTCTCTATTTATATATCCGTATACCTATTTTATGTCTATCTGTCTGCAGTTTTCTCTCTGCTCTTTTATGTTATGTTTGTTGCCTTAATATTGATAGTCCTTTTTGTCTTCTCTGGAACTTCTGTTCACACATTTTGTTCCTTTTCCAGGTTTATGATAAGTAAAATAGTTTGAATCATAAGATACAGCATAAATAAACAATTAATTAATTAATGTGTGTTATTTTTATATGTTGCGCCCAAGTTCACCACTCTCCCTGATATTACTGTTGTGGCATGAAAAACTATAGCAACAACTTTAAACATTTACCAAGAATTCTCTATGCTTGTGCTTTACCTCAAATAATTGACTATTCATCTACTGGTCTGGCTTATTCCTTTAATAAAATGATTGATTGCTTCCCAGAATAAAATAAGTTGGACCATTGTACTGACATTCAAACTACAGAGTACTCACTCCTGAGTATTGTATATTCTTAACCTGGAAAGAAGGATATTTTCTCTTGCTAGTTTCTCCAAATGAAGGTCAGAAAGATGGCTTAAACAAAATTTCTATGCATACAGGTTTTGAGAACATCTTCAGATGAAAAAAGGACCCTTCTTATGTTGTTAAAAATGTCAATCATGTTCTGCCCTGTAAAATTATGAGCATGCCCATGTCATCGCCAAGAAAACCTCGGGGAACACAGTCCTTACCATCCAGTTACAGCAGGTGCCCCAAGGGTAATTCCAGGCAGGTACTGATTTCAAGAACACAGGTGAATAGGAACCAAGTATAATTCAAGAATGGGCACAAAGTTTGAACAGAAGGAAATAGTTTTACCTGTGTGTGTAGGTAAATGATTCTTATGTTAAGGAACTTATGAAACTGAGGAGCAAAATTAACCATCCTGATTTAGAGGGTTCATTGATGACATGAATGTGCATCTCAGAGACCACATCCTGTATTCTAAAGAGGTCAGATTAGTTGTTTCTGCCCTGAACTTGATGAATCAGAGATGACCTCAATCATTCCTTCTTTAGAATAGATGTATTTATATCTCTCAGGTTCAATAATGGGAGAAATTGACAAGGTTCCCTTAGTATAATTTCTTCTAAAAATCTAAAAATGTGCATAGTTCCATGGGGATATTTTGCCTACACACCATATTTGAAAGCAGTATAATGTATTTCGGCAATTAAAAAAAAATATTTCTAAATCTCTGTTTCTATTCATTAATTGGAGCTGTCCATATGAGTTAAATTAGTTAAACATTTATATATGATGTAAAACTCTCAAATTTTAATCACTGAGTGTTAAGTATTTAAGAATATCTATATTTTAATGAAAATAATTCATTTCTATGGTGTGAAATTCATATAAATATTCAATTTTAAACTTATCTTACAGTGAGAATCAAAACAAAGAAGAGTAGTTTGTTTCTTTGTATAAGCTCAAAATATTCTTTAACAATGCTCGCCAAAGTGGCTGGACAGTAGAGTTACTACAAGTTATCTCCTGACCAAATAAAGTGGCACATGTGTACTGGCTGACACCTTCTGTTACCAAAGATCTCCATGTAAAAACTAAAGGGTATGTCTGTTTGTTGTCCAAAGTGGGTCAAACCAGCCATTCAGTTTTTTTACATGATGTGGGCTTGAGGAAACAGAGGCTGGATGGGAGGCACTCTGTGAGAATTGGTTATATTACTTGGTCTTACTCCTTACTGTCGTCAGATGTAGTATAAACAAGGTTTTATCACAGCCTTCATTCGGTCATTTCATGTATCAGATATCAAAAGATGATTGAATTATTTAAATAGAGTGGAATGGGAGTCCATAAGAAATATACCTGAAACCAAG